AGGGTGTCGCTTCGATCTCTGTACTCGCACTAGCCACTAACAACTTTCTCTTTGAATGTGTGTGCCGCTATATGAAATGAGAAAAATGGTGATGACTTCATGTGTTGTGGTCTACGCTGGGGTAAACACAAAAATCGCAAGGTGCTGAGGCCTCCACCGTCCTCGCCCTTGGTCCAAAAGCAGCTTCCACAAGAGCGCCTTGCCACAGACCGGTGGTATGGTATGGGGGTTGTCGAAATTGTGCTCTCCCTTTTTGAATAGGGTCCCCAATACTCCTTACTTAGGATATACGCCCAAACGACTCCCCAACCGCATCTAATGATCTAGTTTCTGCCCTGTGTTGATGGCTCCATGTCACTTTCCGAAGCATTAATAAGACACGGATACTGAAGTCAAAGCTGAGTTGCCCCAGCTATAATACCTGAGCTGCCACGTTGTTGGGCTTGAAACTCGGCGACAGGCACTTGCGAACAGAAAACACATGACCGCCTAGTGCCCCCAAAAATACTTTACCCATGTTGCTACACAGCTAGTGCACCAAATCTTGTGATTTCATGAAATCTAGCTTCACATGACCTTGTACCTCAAGGCAGGTGGTGAACGGCTTAAAGGACTATTAGAGCGTTTCTTGGAGGTGAAGGGGAGGTGAACTAAGCTGCTGGAGTATACTGGAATCATGCGGAGGCTCCAAGGTCACTCGTACCGTGCGCCCTCCCTCGTGCCTTTGATGTACCAGCCCTGCACTTTCAATATACATAGACTCTTCGCGCCTTGCCCTACCCAGTCGACACAAGAATCCTCATCCCTCATCCCCATGGCCGCGCAGGGTTCCACTGGAACCCTCATGAGGTCCCCATAAAACCTCTGCAAACCTCATCGTAATCTCATGTTAGCAAGTTGCTTGCTGGCTTCTGCATCTGCCGCCCGCGTGTCGAAAGGGGAAGACCCACTCATGCCTGGCTGATCGGCAGTTTGGGCAGGATGGGCTCATGTTTCATGAGACCTTGCTCTGGCATTACTAGGGCAAACAACCTCTTCAAGAAAACTCTTCAAACACAGCTACCATTAGATGACTGTAGGGCTTGCAAAGTAGAGCCTGGATGGCTATCTCACACCAGGCCCCCTGAAGCCGGACTCTTCGTCATGCCCTGCTTCATGGTCCCAACAAATCTAGGTAGTGTATTTATGCGGGTTCGCTGTAACTGATAACTTCAAAACGATGCAAGGATCTCTGGCTGGGGAAGATCTTGAAGCAGCTACGTACATAGGGACCAAAAACGTAACAAGTACCTAATGCCATCAATCAAACGCTTAACTGCGAGAGCCCCTCCTCGTCATCGAATCCAAACTTTCCACTTCAAACATAAACACCCACGCCACGCCCATATTCAGGGTTGCTGAAGCCTTCGTCGCCCAAAGGCCGCAGCCCGCCAGCTAGCGGACTCCGTTGTTGCAAGGCCTCTTCTTCAAGGAGACTTAAACAGGATTCAAGGTTTGGGGGAGGCTCCGATTAATGCCAAAAAAATCACCAACAGTTTGGGTCAAGCTTGTGTGTTTTCCGTGTCCGCCGTTGTGAAACGGTTTTGGGTATGAGCTATGAGCTACATAAACTCAAGTTCTCCACAGGTCAAAAGTCCAGGTTTGTGCTGTGTAGGCATTCGTGGCTCGAATCCTGCGCTGAGCAATCTGCAGGGCAAAAATTGATGCCGTAAATACTCGGGGCACAAAACAGCAGTACAAGGCTCCACAGATTCTTCAAGGCTTTTTTGGTGCAAATACCTGCACACCGGCTTCATGAAATAAGGATGTTTCAACTGCTTGAACATCACCATACGTGTGGCCTGACTGATCAAAATGTGAAGATTGCTCGCAAGAATCCGCATTTAACGAAAACCCGATACCAAATATGTACAGTAATCTAATATGGGGTTATTAAGGAGATACATGTCAAGTTGAGGTTTCCTCCATCTTATTGCAGAGATCTAACACTTCTCCTCTTCAACAACACTGGCTCCTACGCAGAATAGAACCTAGCCCAGCGCTCGAAAAACAATTCTTGTGGCATGTTACCGCAATGCTAAATCACATTTTTCGGCAGTATCCCTATGGAATACTTTGCATCTGTATCCCCAGCCCTCTATTGTGAGAGATTTGTTGACGGCCCCACGCCATATCCAGTATTACCCTCCCTAAGGGTCCAAGGACACAAATAATAGGGTTTTAGGGCCCAAATACCATAATAGTAATGGTATTTGGGCCCTAAAGACCTATTATTTGGGTCCTTGGACCCTTAGAGCCTGTCATCTCCTAGGTCCGGCCTCAAACGACCAAACAAGAAGATGGGCTGTGAACGCGGAGCATCCCACCTTTGGCTCAGACAGCCATGAAGCTTTGACTAGGGGAGTATAGGGGTTAAAGGGTTTAGGGTTTAGGGGTTATAGTCTAAACTCCTAGAACCCTTTATAATGGAGATAGGGTTTAGGGTTTTGCCACTTGCATGGCCATACAGCAGGTTTAGGGTTTAGGGTTTTTATAGTCTAAACTCCTAGAACCCCTTATAATGGAGAATCAAATGGAAAAGAACATTGGAAAATGAAATGGAAACAGTGATTACATGAGATAGGGGTTATATTAAACGATGATAATCTAAACACATAGTATCCCCCTTAATAAGCCCTATAGTAGTCCCATATATGATGCCGTATGTCCCCCTTTAAGGAGTTGAGACTATACCTCATTTGGGGTCCTGAAGATTCTGAAGGGGAAAGCTTGAGAAAACAACATAACATTGAGAACCCCACTTTTGCCATAGTATGATCTGAGTGAACGCCCTGACTGTAAATCTTTTGTGGTTTCGTCACTCTTTAAATGTTTTAACGGGGTGTGGGCTGTCGCACCATCCATGTCGCCTAAACCTTCAACACAATGCCATATGACCGATGATCATGAAACATTGCGAAGCTTGCCAAAACACCACGAAAACGATCAGCGGTGCTGCAATCAGGCCCGCTCTCGAGCAGGCATATGGCCTCAGAAATTTTGTTGCAAGAATAGTGGCTTTGCGGCTCAAAAACTAAGGTTGAAGGCTGAGGGTGTGGGGACTGGATTTAGGACGTAGACTTTGCGGTCTTACAGGTTTTGCTAGGGTGCGGGCCCTAGGGACGGTAAGGATATACAGTATATCACCGGGGGGCTCCGAGGCTCCCCACCAGCGATGTGTTCTTCTGGCGCCTATGAGATACAACATCTAAGCGTTGCTTTGACGGTTTTTTTTGAGTTGCACCCTTTGAGTGAACACTGGCTGGTCTAAACGACAGGTAACATTCTTATTCACGGTTGGTCCAGACCTGAACTTGTCACTGCGCGAGAGAAACCGGCCTGGGAGTTGTAAAGTAAAACAAAGAAAGCCAACCGTCCGAACCTTCCCATGTGGCTAAATCTGGCTTCTTCTGAGCCCCACAGGCGTTCACCCTTAGTTGGGATTTCTCGAACGACTCTTCATAAATTACCCATCATGACCCTACTAGAAGCGCCGAAACAAGGTCAGCCATCCGTCTGACTAAGGCGAGCGCATGGACAGAATGCCAACTCCCACGACGGCGGAAAAAGTTGCGACGGTGCCGTCCCAAACATCACATCGGCCACCGCTCCACGGCTTCCGCTGATAACCTTGGAAAGAACAAAAGGATCAAACTCCGGCTGACGGGCACAAGCCTGTCTTTCATAAATGCACGCGGAAACATGACGAAACATGGATTAATTCGTGGAGGTGCGTGGGTAGTTGTAGCTCGGGCTTAAATCTTGGATGGCAACACGTGTACGCAGCCAGTCGACATCTTGTGTTGGACGCGGAGAATTTATCAACATAATTACTTGTAGCTGCACGTGAACTTGAATTCCCCAAACTTATCGCGCAACGTAATCCCCCATTTTGAAGTCTGCCTACACCCGTGATCACTGCTTGTAACGAATTGTAATGTAGAAGACTGCATACGAACCGACCATTTTTTGTTGTAATCCTTGTGCACCGACCGACTACATTCAACCCAGTGTAAACATTGTTTTCATGTCATCTTGCATGTTCATTTCTACGTGATTCTCCAATGTTCTACATTACCCATAACCCCCGAGTGAGCAGTGTTTGTTGCTTGGTGATAGAACCCAGTGAGATTATCCTCCGTACTAAGATGTTATCCTACTCTCTACAGGGACTGGAGCACTCCGTTGAAAATACTACGCACGCGTAACTGTAATGTAATACATCTAAACAGCTTTTCTAGGTAAGTAGTTAATGTTCACTTCACCTTAAGAACTGCCCCCACATTTATAAAATCCAGGGGCCGGAACACAATGATAATAACCCCCGCAATTATAAAATCCCCCTGGAGCAGTAAATTTCTTAGGGATAGAAGTTCAGAGTTGCTTACTCATATTCATACTAAAACTAAAACTACTTCGTGATCAGGATTTTCAGCATTATTATTTCGGAGGCCCTGAAAATAGAGATTGATCATTCAAGGGGGGGGGGGAAGGGGGGGGTACTTTATTAATGCGAAGTCAACATTACCCTAAAACACTAAACCCTAATCCCTGAACCTTACACTCTAAACCTTCAATCCTAAGCCCTGCACAGTAAACCCTAGCCCTAGCCTCCATGTCATTGGGCGGCACTGGCTCAGTAGGCCAAAAACTGTAGATGTATAATTCTTGGTGCGCATGCCGT